ACAGCCTTTTCACATTATAGCGACACAGCAACACCTTGATTCGAATCGGATCAAATCAGATGGAAAGTGAATAGCTTGAAACGAGAATACTCTTAATAGAATGAATTATTGTAGTTGCGCAGTATACACGTCCATCTATGATAATAAGGCGTTTAAAATCGTCGACTACTGCTTAATAATTCCTTACGCTTAAGGAATTATTAAGCAGTAGTCAATAGTCAATTATTAAGCAGTAGCCAAAGACAAATTAGGAGGCAATAGTCAATTTATTTGGTAAAACAAATCCATTCTTATTACCAGTTGAACCCAATTCTGTCGGTTTTAAATAGACTTGTATATGACAAACGGAAGAACCTTTTCACATATAGCGACACAGCAACACTTTGATTTGAATTAGATCAGCTGGAAAGTGAATAGCTTGAAATGAGAATACACTTGATAGAATGAGTTATTGTACTTGCGCAGTATACACGTTAATAAGAAAGGGTTTAAAATCGTCGACTACTGCTCAATAATTCCTTAAGCGTACCAAAGACAAACTATTAGGCAATAGTCAATTTATTTGGTAAAAGAAATCCTTTCTTATTACCAATTAAACCCGTCTGTCGGTTTTAAATAGACTTATTACAAACGAAATAACCTTTTTACATTATAGCGACACAGCAACACCTTGATTCGAATCAGATCTGATCAACCGGAAAGTTGAATAGCTGAATATGAGAGATAATTTTAAGACTAACGCGAAAGGTTACGAACTTTGTTGAGTTTCGAGGACTGCCACCAATCAGCAGTGCTTGTGGAAAGAAGCAAGGCTCAAGAAACCTCTGCGCCTAGTGGATAAGATCAAGACTGTAGGGTCTTTGCAACCAGAATGGGAAAACTATTGCAGCTGACCCGCGCGCTTACATCGTATAGTCAGCATCAGAAGGATAGATACTATGATCAGTGTCATAATTACAAGTGAATGGTGACTGCTATGTGATGTGTCTGAATGCAATAGAATTTTACGTAAAGTTTTAGTCACTCCATTAACCAACCACATGTGTAAGGTTAGGTATAATCCATATTTTTTTCCCATAAATCATTTTTTTTTACCACATAATTATCTCTACGCATCGATGTTGTATAAAAAAAGTTTTATATAAATCCCTACTGCGAAGCGAACAACGCTATTCACAACATTGACGACGATGATTACAAAGCAAGGAAAGATTAATTCATTAGTTTAAGCTCGGTGGAAATTGGCCGATTTCGAAATAACGATTACACACTTGTGAAAAAAATGAGGTTACATTTTTAGTCTTATGTATGATCACTGACATTTGAATTATAAATAAGAACAAAACGCTCATATTTTCATGGTAACATTTTACATAGCGGTGACTTACTTTCTCAGACTCGTACCTTATAAAGAGTAATTATGCAGGAGATGGCAAAACTTTATATTTATTTTAAATTTCTTATAAAGGATGTTAATTTGGATGCATTACTATAAGAATAGGTAAAAGCCAGTATGGAAATATGAAGGAAATGTAATGTGACATCAGCCTGCAACTTAATGTCAATACTTAATGTCAAATTGTACTTAATGTCAATAGTGTACTGTGTGTACAAACTAGATACGATACGGTACCTACGGGAATTACCGCGAGCGCGCGAGATCTATACAGAAGACAGCGTAACCAGTTTTTTGGCGCGTGATAATAATGATAAGTTGTTCTGGCAAATACACATGTCACCTTCGGGGATACAAGTGTAATGAAAAGCATCTAGTTTGTACGTTACGTAATTGACAAGTTCATAATGCTTACACAAATTCGGTTCCATACAATATAAACGAGATGAGGGCCGGCAGCTATAACTCCTAAACGCTTTAGTGGCAGTAAATTTTTGTTATTAGAATGATTGCGCCTATCTTAAAACGCAAACCAGACCACACCTATACCAGCAGACAAACGAATATATACACAATTCCAAAAAAATCAATGTCTTCAAGAACTTTTATTACTCTGTATCTTAAAATTAGACAATCACAATATATAATATTACCTGCATTGATACCTACCTAAATACATATAATAAGGCGAAATTCGTAAACCTCGTACCCACTATCAATGTGAACTTTTGAGTAGGCACAAAAAACAGAATTACCGGAAATAATAAAAAGAGAATTACCGGAAATAATAAAATCATAAGAAAATGTATGATTATACCTTTAGTCTATAACTACAAAAGAGCCTTCAAATTACATTTGAGCTTTAATTGTCATATAATGCGCTTCAAGAGAAAAAAAGGGATTGCGTCCAAAAACGAAGTTACGAGGTTTTCAAATTTATTGTCAGCAAAACTTGAGACAACGTGTCACTTAATGAAACATTAAAGTTAATGGACGTTTGGGCATTTGAGCGTAAATAAATTACGTCTTATAAAGGTTTTACGGACAATTGACCGTGGTACACAGTACGCAAACTTATACAGGAAGTACGTGCATTATTCGATATTATAAATTGAAACCCTGAGGTAACAGCGTAAGGTAACGTCCAATGGAATATTTTGACAGAATGTACACATTTAACTGCGACTAACGCAGCTGTAAAACGTATAACACTTATACATGGAGATAAAATAGGCGCCTTGTCGTCGAGTTGCGGACACCAGCCCGTTACACCAAGTACCAAGTACGTGGAGATAAAAACTCTTAGGAATCTAATTATTATTATTATATGTAGCAAGCTCCCCTAAAATAGTAGTGTTTGGTATCACGTTCTAAAAATAGTGGATTATTAAAGTGGGTGACACAGTTTTCAGTGACTTAAAAAAAAAATACGAAATTTTTCAATTTGGTACGTAGAAAATAGCTTTTCTCTGTTAATAGTGCCTGTTACCGCCTTGAAATTTTATAGGACACCGTATAGATTAAAAATATGACGTAATTTTGTTTTTTTGGTGGAAATTATGCATACCTCGCGTCATTTTATATAATAGCGCATTTACAATTCAAAATTGACAGCTAATTTAGCTCAACTGTCGCTGTGACGTCATCTTTTGTCTATTTACACAGTTTGCACTATCAAATAGAAATAAATTACATTTTTTATAAATTACTAACATTAACAAACCTTAACCCAATTATTAAAAAATAACAAGACCTCATAAGAGAGGATAAAGACTGTCAAGGCTGTGAAATTTTGACGCCATAATGCGGAATAATTATGAAAAAGTTCCGTCTTTTGATAATATTGAAGCTGCCAGCGCCATCAATTCAAACGTCTAGAGTAACTGTGTTTGCGTTTCTGTTCTCAGTAGTTCTTCAAAATCCCTCAATATGTAGAGTTCGAATTTATCTTCTCAGATTTTAAATAATCATGACGACCGACTCACAGTCTTTCAACTTTTAATAGTTATCCTACAAAACAGAAACTAGAGACTTAATACATAAACAATCTTATATAAAGAACTTGTCACACAAGTATAATTTTTTAAAGAGTTATCATTTTTCAGAGACAAACAATATTTGGTATTAACTATTAACTTTATAGGGGAAATAAATAGCAGTTTAATCAAATTACTAAATTAATCGGCAGCTATAGTCTAATATCGCCCCAGACGTAATCGTGTCTGCAAAAAAACCTACAGCACGTATTTCTCATTTTCTTGTTATTCTTAATACAAAATAAATATTAAGTAATAAGCAGTCATTGGAATTGAGTATTTACCACAACTACAATATTATTTTTGAGACAATAATTTGTAGCAATAACTTAATAGAAAATAATAATTAAATTCCAATAAATAACACGCATATTCAAGTATATTTAGTTCCGAGAAGTTCCGGGATTTGTTAACGGGAATGTCCACATTATTCTTTAATTTAGCTAAATAACTCCATCAATTCCGATCACTGGTAACGAGAGACGATAGTAAATTTCTTTTAATCCGTTACGTATTTAAGGTACATACATATAAAAAAGGAATCCATTAAATGAATGTCACTCATTCCTTAATAAATATTCAACAATACAAGTTGAATGTTTCACATTAAATCAGGACATGATACATGTAATTTGTGAACTTTATACTATATGTAATATGTATAAAGTTATAACAACATACACAAACCATATTAGGGTAAAGTTATACACAGTAAAATTTTAATTTTCGGAAGATATTAAATGTATGCTTCGTACTCATACGTCGAAATAGTTACCGTCAGCCAACGAACGTACAAACAAGGATTTTGTTTTCTGCCATAATTAAAATTTCACAGTGTATGTAACAGTACACAAACAGCGTGAGTTCAAAGTGGTGCAAAGTCGAAACGTCGCGACGCGTCATGTCATGTTTTTCGCCTGTAGCATATTCATTTCTATTTTCCCATTATTAAGGTACAAATTTGTATTATGCAAATATGGAATCGCGCATTAACGACGCCGACGACACGCGCCTTCAGCGTCTAGGCTTGTTTAAAGTCAAGCGGTGTCGCGCGTCGCCGCGCGTCGCCGCAGGTTGCCGTGCGTTACTTGCGCGCAGTGACACGTCAGACGCCGACCACACTGTGATCCGGTCACGCTAATAAGAAGCGTCGTCGCGTCGTCATGCGTTGTAGTTGAAAAACAGGACGCGACACGACGCTTCGGCTCTGCGCCAGAGTGAGTTGAGCCAAAGTGAATTCTTCCACATTATGTTGATACCGACACAACATGTTAACTTTAATAGACTAGCTATATGTCATAAAACTGGTTTCAGGTAAAGACGTTGCCCTTCAAATAATAATCAATTCATCTGTTAGACCTTATAGTATAGAGTCATCCGTGTCGAGACACGTCTCATGCCATTATATGGGTACTAAATAGTTAATACTTTATTTCTCTTCAGCAGCGCGCAGGGACATTTTATATAAACAAAGAATTATTTTCAACATGATAAAACTCCTAGCACTTCTGTTTCTCTTTGTGAGAATAAAGGGAAAAGTTGAGGTGGATCATGGTTTGCTTACTATCAGTAATGAGGACAAATGCTTTCTTGACATAAATGGGGAGAAGGTCAATGTTAAGCTAAATGGAACTGACTATATACATGAGAATCTGATGATAGGATTGATAAAAATGAAATGTGGACCAGATTATGGAACAATCATCTCTGAACTAGAGTGCAAGTATAGTGGGTTGTATTGCTCATACAACCAGCAATTTGATAAATGTAAGAACAACTGGATAACACCAGTGATATCAGTAATAATATCACTAATGATTATTATGATGATCATAATAATAATAATGTTGACTCGCAAGACACACTTAATAGTTTTTTCAAAAAAACTGTGTGGTATTTTTTGACTATTAATGATCGATCAAGACAAAAAAGAATAATGGAACAAAATAAAATGACAGGAGTGAAAAATAACATCTTATTTAGAACTATAGTAACATCTTCTGATGAGTTAATCAATATGATAAGGTAATCACGACTTCAAATAAGGAAAGAAGTTACTGATGATGAGCCAATATATGAAGAAATATGTCAAAATGAGGAAGATGCTAATAGATTCAGTGCTGACATAAATATCAAAGTCAAAAGGAAACATAACAATTCATATGACACTGCAAAGATGCTAACATTAGGTCTTGCAGCACAATCCTTCATACAAGCAGCATATACTAGTGACAAAACTTCAAATTCAAATCTTTCAAGTAATGGAAAAGTTAGTGTTACTGCAGTTTGTACATCAGTCAATGTTTATTCCATTCATATTCAAACTGGATCAACTATATGTTTTAATACTGCAACTGGAGATAAGATGACAATTAGGATCAAAGATTCAAAAACAGGGACTAGATATCAAGCAATATACTATGATGTGACTATACAGTTAAAACTAAAACAACTTAGGAATGTAAAAGCCCTGGCACAAATTGCTAGAATGGTGGGACTTGTGTCAGTGGATATGAACACCCTCATCTCCATACCTCAAATGCATACCCTAAAGGATATGGCTGTAAATCAGATACTATAGGTTGTGACATTTTCTGCTGGCATCAAGTGCTAATAGACTTACCAATCATGGTGAATTCTTTTTCACATGAAGCTATCCACTAACACACTAATAACAACAAGTACTGGCTCATATAATGTTGATTCTTCTCTTATAAACTTCGCTGTAAAAGGACAAATTGGTGAATTTCAAATGTTGTCATGAGACAAGCAACATTTACATTGCACACATCTGAACTCTCTTGTCAAATATCATCTTGCAAAGGCAATTGCACAATTGATGAATCTTCTGTTGCTAGATTTGATTTATCATCACCATTATTAATACCCAGAGATCAAATTGCAACAGATGGTGATTACATAATAAAAAGAATGATTCCTATAACTGCATCAGCAAATTTGATAATAGGATCTGTTGAGCTTGATTCACTTAAAGTTTCACCTAGCCTCTGTCATATTTCTGTTGAACAAAGCTATGGTTGTATAGGATGTGAAACTAAGTCATATGCCATATTCAAAGCATATGATATTAAATGTGAAGGAATATTGGAGTTTGCATCAAACTGTAGTTGGACTATGCCATACTTAATTTGTATTCCAGAACCTTATAGAAATAAACTTAATACACAATCTGATGTGTGTATGATCAACATTCCATCAATTAATCAAACTTTAATACTAAATTTTGATTATATATTTACAGGCAAATTGACATTACTTAAGACTTATTATTCAGAAAAAGCACTAGAAAGTTTAGAATTAATGGTATCAGATAAGACATTTTGGTCTAGTGATCTTGGTTCATTAAACATTATGGCAGTGCCATCAGTTAGCACTGTTGCAACAGTTTTTAAACTTCTTAGATTAGTAATTGCATATAAGACTAAGGAAGGCATAGAGAGAGCATAACTCATTATAACTTATGACCTGATATTAATTTAGAATAATTGCCATGCTATTAAATGGCTTATTAGATAATATATTTGTTATAAAACGTATATAATCAATTTATTTAGTAAATCAAAAAAGAAATTAATAATGCTTAGGTTTTCGCGATTGGTACACACTGAAAATGGAACTATTTTTCCAGATTTAATTCGCGTAACTTACTGAATCAGCCACGGGAACCCATTAAGAACTCGAAAGGTTTAAATCTGAAAAATTGTTTCATATACAATGCTCACTAGAATTTAACATAGCTCGGAAACTAGCTGTGTTTCAGCAACCACTCATCACCAACATCTAGATGTTACAACCATAACAAAATACTATTCGCACAGTTCTTTCTGGCCCAGATACGGTAGACTATACCTTAAGTCTTTCTCAATCAAATCCTTTACAAAAAGGTACTAAAAATCCAATCACTTAATAATTATGAAAACCCCTAAAGCATTCAATGCATAATCCCCACTTTTGTGGACATTGTGGACAGTAATACTCTGTCCTCTTTTTGAGACCACGCTCTGTGTGACAATGCCGGCAGTATTTAACTTTTTTTCCCGGAGGCCAATCAGCAGGCAGGTGTATCACCTCATCCTGTGTCTCGTCTCTATCACTCATACTCAAATCATCTTCACTGCTTTCGCTTTCAACCATGTTTGGCACTGGCAACAAGTCATGAAAAATTGATCTCCTATAGTCGTTGTAAGTGACTTTATCACCACTTCTTTTCATGTTGTACATTATAAATGAATTCATAAACATTGCCTGTAGTAAATATAGAACATGCCTGTTGTTCCTTTTAGTAGTATCACATGGTGCATTATCTGCAAGCATCTGATTCCTCTTGAACATGTTAGTGTGATGCTTGAATTTTGTAATAGGCTCTATATCTACTGTTACTTTATTAATTACTGATGGATTGTGTTCAGTTGACAACGTTATGATAGTCTTGTCAGCCTTCCTGATGTTGCTTATACAAACACCTTCTGAATTATATAGTGATTTCACTTGACCAACCTTTAACTTCTTCTTAGTAAAAGAAGGGTTTCTATGTTTGTTTCGCTTCAAAATCCCTGTCAGGTAAGTCTTTCTTACTAAAAGCTCCTCAGCCAATGACACACTTGTATAATATGGACATGTGTACAATGAACGGCCCGAATCAAAAAAATCCTTCATCAAACTTTTAACAACTTCTTCGCCTCTATTCTTGCCATCTGGATGGCACAAATACACTCTATGAAATATCCCATGACTGTCAGACAGTAAATGCATCCGAATGCGCTCTGGTTTCCTTCGGACAAAGTTGAACTCGTTGAACCAATGTGCAGTAGATTTGTCGATGTTCAATTGCTTTCCTGGAGTAGCTAACGATTTCATTATGCTATTAAACATGTTGGCAATGGGCTTAGCAGCATCGTACCAACTTCTTCGAGTATCGCCATTGTCATCGGTACGAATTGGTCTCTTATGTGCCAATGCTCGAAATAAAAAACAAAATCTGTCTCGACCCATATAATTTTCGAACTTCAAATTGAAAAGTGGATGGGCACTCCAGTAATACGACAAATTAGTAACTTTGAATAAACCCATAAGGAAAAATACACCAAGAAGCGTGTACACTTCATCGACAGTGGTTGGTTTAAACTCATTTGCTTTCTTCATAGACTTCTCTGATAAAATCTGTATAGCATTCGTATTTATACAGGAGACCAGTAAGTTAACAAAGGTATTGTTGAAGAGCAATTTGAAATAGTCAAATGGAGTGGTAGCCAAACCTGTACTAATTGAAGGCTCCAGTATGAACAAGAATTTATGATGTTTGGTCATTGCACCCCATTCTTCCTCTGGCGGCTCGTCTTCCTCACTAGAACTGCCTTCAGAAGTTGAAGAATCGTCTGAAGGGAACTCCTCTATTTCACTCCTGTAAAACAATTTATAGAGTAGAACAGATATTAAATACGAATATGCCGTATGCGAATATATCACAATAAGGATTCTGTAGTAATATTAAATTGCTAAAGACACCAGAAGTTTTTACGATCTTAGCGTAAATATTAGACGGTAAATAGGATTTTTATTATTATTAGCTCTTTCATGCATTTTTTATTTGGTGCGATCAGCCTTCAAGAAAATGTTCACGATAATGGAATAATGTCGAAGTTTTGTTCGTGGCATTACACACCAATCACAAAGAATGTACAGTTTTTCAATAAAAACGTGACGAAAATGGGTTAACCTAATAATTTTTCGGAGCTCTATTTTTAAACTGCACACAAATTATAATTTTTTTAATAATTATAAAAAAGTTAGACAATTTTATTTATATATTTATAGACAGCACTTGTAGAAAAGTTGATTGACAATATTAACTCTTACTCTTCAGACAGCAACTCATCATCTTGCTTTTCATCTTCCAAAACATCCTCCTCAATGTCCATCTCCCTTATGTTATGCACTGGAGCGGCCATAACAGAATTTAATCTGGAATAATATAAATATTTTAGAATCACTTGTTTACTTTAGAGACATAATCATGATAATAACAATTTTACAAATAAAACTGAAATCACTTTTTTGAACAGAAATCACTCCATTAAACCTGGTTGAGACTAAGGTAGTACTCGTAATTTTGTCGGGTGATGAGTAATTTAATAATTTTAGCAACTGACTTTGCCTGTTCATTGTTCCCTGTAAAGTGCATTAGTGAGTAACATATTGCAAGATGATTACCCAACACAACAATAATAAATTTATTGCAAACTTATTGCAATGACTATTTTAGTAATTAGTGTGATCAAAGAAAAAATGGGGTTACGATAAATGATTAAGAAAAAGAAGAGATAATTAAAAGCCACATTTCCAGTTTACTCACATTGTAAATATATATAAAAATAATTATTTATAATATTTTTTTCAACAAATTGGATAATTGTACTTTCACTCCAATGGAACATTTTTACAGCCGCTAATGAACTCAAATAAATCAACATGTTCGCACTTGTTTAGTGCATAAATCACATAGTGAAATTTTCTCAAAACTAAAGTGGATCGATTCTCGATTAAATCACTTACTAAACTATTAGAGTGAAATGTTGTTCCCACATATTTACTTACCAAATTAGTAGGCACTTGACTAAATTATTAGCACTCACATAGATTCGAGTACAATATTCCAAAGCTGAGATGTAATCTAATTTTTTAAGATTTCAATAACACATTTTTTACCTTTTTTTAAAACACATAAAATTGCAATTATAGAAATGTTTTGAACCATAAAACATATTTAAAATGTTAAATACTGCATAAAATAACACTGAATATCACATAAATATATGCAATAACAATACTCAAACAAATATAGTATAGGTGGCTATAGTTAAAAATGCAGTATTTTTTATTACATGCAAAATACTTACAAAAAGACAGAAATCTATTCAATATAGGTTACAATCTTCACTGAAGTCTTGGTGTAGGTTAGGTGTTCTTTAGAAAGCTTAGCAAGGATTTTGGAGTCAGTTTTTTTTATATAAAATACAAAGGACTTCTAGATTAGATTAATTTATTTCACCACAACTTCAATTTAAATACTCCCGTCCATCTTGTGTCGAAAACAGCATTTAAAAATTTTTTTTTTTAAATACTTCTCAAGACTGTATTCATGTCACAGGGCGCCTACCTTCCCCGTAACCAGGCCCCATCATTTGACCTCAGCTATTCAACATTCATAACTCTGATTTAATTTGGTTCTAGTTATAGGTTATGGTAATTTAAACCACATCTGATTTGCTTACAAGTTAAGTTTCCTTTTTGGCTTTCTTAGAAATGTTGGTTTTAAAATTATTTCTAGCTTCAGTGGACTATTACAGGTACTTAACTGTATTCGGAAGGTTATTGTGAAGTTATTTATAGGCTCCGATGGACCGCTTTCACAGCCACAAAACAAGATAAATTTTATTATCAAGACCGTGTCTGGTCGTCCGTTAAATTGTATGAGGAGCGATATTATGATATATCTTGAAATAACTTAAAACTTTAGTAACTCCACCAAATGTGCCAAGTTCAATCGAGACTTAGAAAAACGAAGGTCACCATAACAATGACTTGATAATAAACACATGTTTCATGTGTACCCAAGAAAACACTCCAAAAACAAAAGGAAACTCGCTTAATACCTTAGCAAATTAATGCTTGGGAATGCACAACGGCTAATATTTTCTAAATATAAATTATGAGCGTGATGATACCTGACTGCATCGTAGTTCTGTTGTCCTCGAAGAAACACGACCACTACCACCAGTATCAAACACAATGTAATGAAGTAAGTAAGGCTTTAGGTCATATAATGTTAATAAAGGTTTATAATTAACCACGATTGTTACTCTAAACAACACTAATCCTTTATTTATTACAATAAAAACGCACGTTTCACATTTTGCTCTGCATCTGCAAGCTAGAGCAAAAGAAAGAAAACGCCGGTGGGTAGAAGACCATAGACCATAGACTGAACCGGAAGTGATGATGAAGTTAGTGATGTATGAACAAAATAAAATGATGTTAATAAAATCCGTAGAGGGAGAATAAAAAAAAAGAATAGAGAAGCTTCTCGCGTATACTGAAAAGGGATACCAACAGAGTACCTATAAATTCTGGGTTGTCTACTTTTAAAATAGTACCCCGTTAAAGAAATTGAAATGAAAATGAAGCCGTGGTAGCCGTGGTTTGACCTATTGCCTCTCAAGCAGAAGGTCGTGGGTTCGAATCCAGACTCGCACCTCTTAGTTACTCGGAATTTGTGCGCAATTTAATTTTAAATTTATCATGAGCCTTTCGGTGAAGGAAAACATCGTGATGAAACGTTGAAGAAGGTTCCAAGTCCTCGGAAAACATGTGCAGTCCCCAACCCTCATTGGGCTAGTGTGGTGGACTGTCGCCTAAGCACTCGCCTGAGAGGAGATCCGTGCCCAGCAGTGGGACGTGTAAATGGGTTCATCATAATGATGAAATCTGCCGAGTCTAAGGAGGAAGAATCCGCCAGATCACATTTAGCTTGGTTGAGTTTTAGGGTCGTATTTTAGAACTCTACTCATTGCTCAAGTCAAGATTTGAGTATGGTTTCAAGCACTGGAAATACGATCCTAATGGCAAGGACTTGAGTATGATTTCGAGTGCCTTAAATCATACTCAAGTCCTGACTTGAGCATTGTGTAGAATTCTAGAATACGACTCTTAGTAACCAAATAAAACAATTATGACAAATCATTACTTTTTATTGGCCCTTGAACAGTATTAACTTAGTATTAATATTTCGAACTGAAAAAGTATTGAAAAGTAAAAAAAATACAATATTTAAAATGACCCATAAATTGGAGAAAAGATAGTGGCAAAAGCACGGTATCCCTAAAATCAGCTTAAGCCTGTCTAACTTAATTTATGGGTACGTTATTTATTTGATTTCTTTTTCTCGCGTATCATAACCACTGCTGGTAGAAGCGAGATGGACATATTTGACAAAAATAAGATATTCTCCTTATTTTAGGAGGTTTGTACGATGCAAACAAAAATCTTTCAATCAAGAAAAACACTTCAAATATCATCTAAATTCTAAAATATATGAAATCGTAATATTCCAGGCTTGTAAGAGTATTTCACTAGTACAAGAACATTCATTGATTATAATGAAAAATGAAAACTTACATGTGAAAGGTTATGTTGGGAATTTTTCGTTCCGTGCGGCTTTTACAGCCTAAAATATATCAATGCGCCATTATTGTGAGTTGCAATAATAGTCAATTACTACAAAGGAACGGTTAGTAACTTTGTAAAACATTTCTTAAAAGCACAAACACATAAAATCGATGCACATCAAACGCTCGGAAGGATTTGCTGGACTCAACGAGCGTTGAGTCATACAACCAAAACCGCATACGCAGAAATTTACAAAAAATAATACTGTTTTCTCGTTTACTCTGATATGTCTGTGCATAAATCTATCTCACTTATACGGTTTTTATTATTTATAGAGCCCCTCTACCCAATTCTCTCCCTACGGTAAAATCGACGTTAAAGAGAAAAAGATCTGATTTAGCAGTTTAATTAGATGCCATAGACTGTCCTGAAAAAAAAAATTACTCCATCAACCTTAGACTATGGTTTTTCCATCCTCTAAGCCATCAACCACCTTGCACCAATAACTCAAAAAGGACTGCAATGCAAATCACAGCAACTTAGTCGAGAATTTAGTAGTTATTATTAAGTACACCCTGTGGTCGAGACGAGTACAATTAGCTATTTCTGTAACTAATTTGTAATTAATTTGACGAGTCGCAAATTATCATAGCTACTCTAATTTTTAGTGATACTAAATAAATCAACTATATGAAACTTGTGTCAAAAAATATGTATATATTTAGTTCTTTATTTCCATCCTCTAAGAGTCGTATTCCAGAACTATACTCAATGCTCAAGTCAGGACTTGAGTATGATTTAAAGCACTTGAAATTATGCTCAAGTGTTTGCGTTTAGGGTCGTATTTCCAGTGCTTGAAATCATACTCAAATCCTGACTTCATATGAATGCTCAAGGAAATACGGCCCTAGTGGCAAGGACTTGAGAATGATTTCTAATGCTTTAAATCATACTCAAGTCCTGACTTGAGCATTGAGTAGAGTTCTGGAATACCACGCTAAGATTTAGTTGGATGCTGCTATAAATTTTTTTTTTTAATTCACTCTACATTTCATCTACATTTTTACGCAATTGGGAATCGCTGTAAAAAGAGATATTCATTATCCTGCATTGCAGTCCGCCTTTCCGTACGATGCGTAATGCTGGATTGTGAATGTAGTTGCAGCGTGCAAGCCATCCTGCAATGGATCCTGCGAGACTCCATACGTGGGCCATATACAGGATAATGTGTGAGCAGGCTCCTGCCCGCGCGGCGGATTGCCTTGCAGGTAGTGAATGGGCCTTTTAACGCTGGCGGGTGCCATGGATACACACATAGACAACAGCAAATTACACCTAAACTCACGAGGCAAATAAATGTACGCCATACAAATATTTCTCCCAGCCCGGGATTCTAGCCCGGGACCTCTGCGTGGCAGTCCAGTATGGGAACCGTTCGGTCACAAAGGCAATTTATATTGCAATTGGTACTGCCGGTTAATATTTTATTTTGTTCAGGAATAGCGCCATCTACCCAAGTTAGTAAACGCTAATTTTTAAATAGTTTTTAACACACAATGCTATGCTATGGTATTGATACGTATAAAGTTCAGATACAATGTTTGTAAATATTACAAAGAAAAAATTAGAAGAAGAAGAAGAAAGAACAAAATATATTTATTTGGTCTACATTACATTGACAATTACTACTTTACAACTACAAAAATAAGGAACCAAAAAGGTCACCACTCAGCATGTGCCAGTTTGCTCACGGAGAAACAGACCGGCGCTGATATTCTATGGCCACCACAACAGAAAGGACACCACTACAACAAACATACACTTTGACAACAGGTACATATACATACATCAACTTAACATAATATAAAATATATAGGTTTTTAAACATCACAATAAACAAATAATCATTAAACAATGACAACTCTTACCACATATAAAAAATATATACACTATAAAATAATATAACATAACATATGCTGGCCTAAATAAACTACACAAAAAACAGACAAAAATAAAAAAATGAAATGAAATGAAAATTAAAAACAATAATAAAACAAATGAAGAAAAACACTTCACTTAAAAAATACCCCACTCGTCGTACCTCTTTTGATTATCCATTAAATACAATTTAAAATTTCTCTTGAACATGACAATCGTGGCAAAATTTCTTAATGGAGGAGGAATATTATTCCGGCATTTCGAAGCAGAATAACGAAAACTACCTCGAAATAATGCGGTTGCGTGTCTAGGATATACAAGACCAGTGGCTAATCTTACATTGAGTTGTGTAAACTGTAATTTATTGTACAGGTACGGAGGACTTTTATTTTTAACTATGCCGAAAACCAAGGTAGCAAAATGGAGAGAGCGTTGGTGACTCCTGTTCATGAGCTTACCTTTATTATGGTAAGCTCATGAACATGAGCATCATGAACATGAGGTAAGGTGACACAAATTACTGTTTGTAATTCATATTACGCCGGCCACATATAGTCGGAATTCTGTTTCGAAATTCCATTTCGGAATATCGATTCGAGGTTTCATATATACATCACAACATATGTTTATTTTCGATCGGAATAATTAAAACTCTGTTGAGAGACGCGCTTTTATGGCCTATGACCCAGAATTTGATCGAGAGATTGATTAATTTCGTGACAGACTTCGTGATCATTTGAAAAAACAACAGACAAACACTAACACAGAACACTATACTCACAAGGAGAACAGTAAACACAACAAACACAAAATGGTATGTTTTTTTGCTATTTCATATTGTAACAAAAATACCTATGTACCATATTGCCAGTACAGAGTACTAAAAAACCAACCTCAAAAGTTCGTGGAATTACATCGATATGCCAAGTTTTATTGAAATTGGTTTCCGAGGAGTGCACAAAACCGGATTCATCCCACAGTTCGCCACTACGCCGGGCTTAACACAGGAGATAATCAAAATCGGTGCTCACTGCTTAAAACATACTGAGAGAAAAACGCCTTCATTTGAAGCATAGCAAAATCAATCATTAATATAATGGGTCCTTATAAAATTTAGGCGCTATTTATAAAAATTAATCTTCATGCGTGAACGAACAGCCACCCTTAAAGGTGAAATATTTTCTTCAAGATTAAATGGAATCACTACTGAAGTACCCTCTTTCCAACAAAAAAATAATTATTCAAATCGGTTCACAAACTATCGAGTTATCACGTAACATACGAAACACACATACATACAAAAAAACAATACGGTCGAATTGAGAACCTCCGTCTTTTTTTGAAGTCGGTTAAAAAATCAGTGTTACCTTTTATTTTCATTGATTTAATGCACGCCCTAAACCACAAAAAAAAAACGTCGCGGCGGAAATGAATGAAGGGAGATAAAGTTGTACCTTTATGTTACCGGTTTAGTGTCCTTAGATGAAAGGTATTTAAAAGGGGGAATTCATTATCCTGCATTGCAGTCGGCCTTGCCGTCCACCGCGTAATGCAGGGTTATGAATGTAGCCGCAACGTGCAAGCCACCCTGCAATCCTGCAATCCGTTCTGCTCCTGCGCATTCTTATGCCTTACGCAGGATAGTGTGTAAGCAGTATCCTGCATGCGCGGCGGACTGCCATGCAAGTAGTGTATGGGCCGTTTGAGCCTGCAGTTAATCACTGTAATTCAATCCATATATTTTTTTTAATATTCATCTTGAACTCGATCGTTGCTAGGTTAGGAACATTTTGTTTTTTTAGCATGACCGACATGCACTCTAATGAATGGGCCAATAGTAACGTAAATTTAGCTTATACTAAGGAATTGAGATGTGAAGATGACATGTGATAAAAAAAAAACAATTTTGACAGCACAAATTAAAAGTTAAACTGGAACTTCAACTTTGACATTTTTGACAGTTCAACAAAGCAACTGAACAGAAACGTTGCGGAACATCGTGAAATAGGGAATCTGCGTCTGCTCTTTTATACAACAAATCTCTTTTCTTGTTTTTAAGTGCAAATGGAGGTGACCGACGATAATCTTGCTAGGCTTGCTAGCTACTTACAGCAAACGTTAAATCCAGACCCGAATATAAGAAGACCCGGTAAGTGGAAAAAATGCTAAGCTTAATGGTTTTCTTCACATTTATTATATCATTTGTCACATTACGGTTACATACTACAAAAAAAAGGCGAAATTTCTACATTTATAACACCATCAAATGATTAGTTTGTAAATTTAATTGATAACCTTAAAATGTAAATAATAATGTTAGAGAAACGAACTTTTTAAAAATTGCATCGAATATTGGGTATTCAGCAAATTCGACCGAATACCGATTTTTTAAAGTTTATTGAATTAAATAACTATTCGGCCGAATACCTAAACACAATAGAAAAATTACGAATACGAAAAGACAGTAAATTAGAATAATAATGCTGAACGTGCATAATATCTATTATCAAGTTTGATGATAGACAATTTTAAATAAATCTAAAAGATCAAATAAATGTTAACCAAGTTATTTGTTTAAGATATAATATGTACTTACAAAAAATAAGTATTTTATCAAATGAAGACTACCTGCCTATTATGTAGTATAGGCAATGACTTAATGAACGCTAACAAATTCAACCACATACTTATTATTTCCATATCAAAATAAACAAAGTTATTTGAGAGTTGATCAGACTGGAGTGACATAAACAATTATTTTCTTCATTGATATCATAAATTGAAAGTATAAACCTGGAAATGAATTTACTTTTTTTGTTTCTTTGTGCCAATTATGTGCATTAATGAGGAATATTTGGCATAGCGGCAGAGTGTACTATTAGTTGAAACATTGACTTTTATATCATGTAAGCGAGCTATAGGTCACATTGTATTAAACAGGACAGAATGAAACCTGTACTTACGGATAAAATTTTTTTAAACTTTTTATTACAAAACTTTTTTGTTTTATTTTTACAATTAAATTTTTTTATAAAAACTGTTTGCATTCCAGCTGAAAAGTTTCTAGAAGGAGTGGAAGTAAACCAGAACTATCCAATTCTATTACTGCATCTTATAGACAAGGATGGAGTGGATATTACTATCAGGATTGCAGCGGCCATTGCCTTCAAGAACTACATTAAGAGAAACTGGCCAGTGGTATGTTGATTGAAAAGCACATCAAGCTTTACACTTTTGTTTGATCACCTCTACTGCAACAGTACAAAATCTGTCAATGTGTAGCTTGATGTGCTGCTGTCATTACATAAACAGACTGGAAACAGATAGTGTTATGATATTGTGTTATTTTTAAGGGCATGGAAATAGGTACAGACAATACAAAAATATTCTGTCTATATGTCATTCAAAAGATGTTTGCACATAAACAACACAACAGTTTTGTCAGAAGCATTATAGGAGGTAGGAGATACAGAGGAAGACTTAGGGCGAGTGTCGCTAAGAAATTTGATGTGTCTGCTACAGAAAAGATTAGAATGGTCTTGTTCACGACAAGAACTTGTCGTGTCTGTTGTAGGCGAGGTTTTTTCTTGTCTGGTGCCGAGGCAGCATTTCACAGTTCGTGTGTAGGAACGACACGAATTCTTGCAAAGACCTGGCAACTTTTCTTAGTGTGGGTACCCCCTAAGACGAATTTTAAGATGAAATAAGGAAAGAAGATGACTGTCTCTTATCAGATACTCAAATACAGGGTGTTGAACGGAAATAGTTGGGGACTGACAAGAGTGTAGCACTTAAGTAATATCTATTTGACAAATTAAAAGACTGCATGAACATTTGATAAACATCAATGTTGCTGCAATGTATTTAAGTTGCATTCATTTTGTAGGAGGAAGACAGCACAGATAGAATCCACCCTCAAGATCGAGCAGCAATTAAGACTCTGATAGTGTCTTTAATGCTGAAGTCTCCTGAAGCCATTCAGCGGCAGTTCAGTGATGCTGTTTCCATAATTGGCAAGAGTGACTTTCCTGAGAAATGGCCCAGTCTCATACCAGAGATGGTTGAGAAATTTGCTACAGGTGTTTATTTATTTCTTTTTTACCAAAGTTTAGACCATCAGTGACAGCCACTAAAATCTTACAAGCTGCTGACTACATTTTGTAGATATTGCTAACTATTATTATGGCAGTATCCGATGCTGGAATGCTAAAAATTATAAAAAAAGAAATACAAAAGCAGTACACTAAACTATGAGTTTATTAACAGTAAATATCTTTTAAAGTACCAACAATCAGAAGTTCTAATGGTTTCCGTTTTCAGGTGATTTTCACGTGATCAACGGCATCCTGCGCACGGCACACTCGCTCTTCAAGCGCTACCGATACGAATTTAAATCGCAGAAGCTCTGGGAAGAAATAAAACACGTGCTCGACAACTTTGCTAAACCACTGACAGATCTCTTTGTAGTGAGTACAATTAATTTTTCTTTACATTCGAAAATGACAGTAAGACCCGTATTTGCAAATCCATCTCAAATACAGACTCAATATTGAGCTCATACTTTGTCAGGTGTCTTTTTTATCTAAAATTGATTAAGTCTTGTTAAGTGTACATCAGTGATTACGCATGATTTGAGAGTTGTTTAAACTCTATTTAACTCTTTGAGGTTGAGATTGTATCGTCCAAGATCCGGATGATTATAGTCTAAGAGAGCCCAAGATGCACTTTGAGATCTGAGTGACAGCTGATACGTACATAATTTTGAGATTTAATAATATGGGCTTATAAATATAACTTCATAAAATGTTTCCAAAAGAAAGAAAATAACATGAGCATTCAAATTATTTTTTTCTACTGTATTAAAAAAAAATTATAACCGTCAAGTTGCATAATAATCACTTACGTATTTTGATAACCGGCAATTTATCTCACCACCGCACTCCTTAATAAATTAGTCTTTCACCCCTGACGTTGGCAAAATCGTCGCGCAAAACGACGGAGCCATAGATACAAAAATTGAAGTTGAATATGGGCTTAGGAGTGCTGACCCCAATAAATAGCGAATAAGATAAACTCTTTGATATCTCTGAACTCCAGACTATCCCGCTCACAAATACCAGCATAAATAAATTTATTTAATTCAGAGAAAATAGTTTTCTAATGGATGCTACAGGAATTTTGGTATTGTCATCTGTTTAATCAGTCTGGACATTGTCATTAATGAGACTTAGTTCACCTAAAATAATTTCCCGTGAAGAAAAAATATACAAAATAGTATACTGGAATACCCTGGTTAGGACCAGATAACTGTAGTGATTACCTGGCCTCTATCTCTCACTTTGTTTATAAATTATTTGTTTTCAGGCAACCCTAGAGCTCCGCAATACGCATGCAGACAATCCGCAAGCATTAAAAGTGATTTACGGATCACTTGTACTAATCTGCAAAGTTTTCTATTCACTCAACTTCCAAGACTTGCCCGAGTACTTTGAGGACAACATGCCAATATGGATGCCCAATTTGCTCAACCTGCTACAAGTTAAAGTGCCTTGTTTGGAGTCTAATGTGAGTTGATTATATAGATACCTTTCTGACCTTTGATGTGTTCCATTGTCTATGAAATTGAAGATGAGAAGACATGTTTTGTAAGACAACTCTGGTTAGTAAAAATAACAATGGTCTGTTGGTTGTTTATACTCATTTCTTCTCGTTACCAATATGATGGATAAATATCCTTTATCGTTCTATCAAATTGCCTTAAAATTTCTTAGCAGTTAGCATTTCGACTGTGAACTGGCAACCGAGTACTATCTCAATTTTGACAACTTTACAGAATGAACAAAAAACTTGTTTGCGTCATTTATATAGCATCTGGTTTATTGAATAAAAATACGTGGTTTTTAAATATTTTTATTGCACATGTTTTTAAAAACAATGGAATTTCTTGCTAGGCTAAGGAAAATTGATATAGTACCAAGTGCCAGTTCACAGTCGATTTGCTTTGTGTACGAACAAAGTCCATTTTAATTATTAATGTATCGAACACTAAGAAAAATGCTTTCTATCCTGCAGAATTCGAACCAGCTAATAATTTTTACAAGCTCATGGAGTAATTTCCCCAAGAAATAGTTGAATATCATTATATTATATAGATATTCAATAAATTTAATAACAACACACTTCATAATAACACTATACAGTGTGCTGAGTAGCCGGCCTCTTTGTAGTCATTAAAAATTCTAAATACTGCTTAAAAATATTGATTATATTTTTTAAAACTATAACTATTATTATATTTGTGCACGACAGTGGATAGCGCGAAAATATCTGTGACTCCGACACGAATACGTGCTACTATGCCGCTTTTACCAGACCGTGCCTACACGCAGGACTGTTCGCCCGTACTCGGGTGAATTTTGCTTTCCGAATTTCATTGGCACTTTTTGAATGATTTTTGTAAAACCCATTTTTCTTTTGGTTTTAAGGTCTTAAACGTACAAATAAGTTCAAGAAATATCAATAATTATAAAATCACAGAAATACTTAAGTTAAATACAACAAAAAACGATATTTTAGGTCACACAAATGAGATTGCAGTAACACGAATGATTTTCTCATAAACATAAATGAGAAAGATGTCACAGTAATAAGAAATTATTAATACAACACACATTTCATTGTTGACAAAAGAACATTAAACAACATTTTTCATGTAACAAATATTTTAATATAACTTCTTGTATCAAAATCCTTCTCATCCGTGTAAGACCATCTATCTATATATCTATATGTAATTAATAAATAAATCCAAATAAGTATTTTGTTAATGTCATATAAACTTTGTTGTACATATATATAATATATCATCATCATGATCACCATTATCATCAGCATCATTACCATTCACATCATCATCACAATCATCGTCATCATCACTACAATTATCACCGTCATTATCACCACCACTGTCACCATCTAATTGTTATATTTCAAGTAAATGTTTGGCCTAAAGTAACACATTTTTGGAGGTTATCTGAAAACGACCCACTCGCGTGTATAAGACGCGGAACGCTTCCGAATCCGGCCCCTAGCGTCTATAGGTGCCGGTATCCACGAGTTACCCTTACCGGTGGTACTATTAAAATTCGATAATCAGAAATAAATCACTATTATTCTTGAACACAGTTGCAGTACAGTCATAATTCACATAGAATTTCAGTAAATCAACTTTCGTCATCCTAATCTAAAATGGCACTAATTTACTAACTTCTCTATACTAAGTCACTAAAGTCACTTTTATTTACACTTCACTGATTTACATTTTCTTCTTTTTTCTTCTAGTCACTTTCCGGTGCTCAATACTCAGTACGGACGCTCTGTTTGGACTCTTTTTATACCAAATCTTATTTATTTATCCCAATACCTCGAAAATTACATAAAAAGGGTTACGATTTTGTACTATCGTTTCTTTTTCCATAACTTTCTTATTTTTACACTTTTTGAACTGAAAGTTTGGCTAATTGTGCCTATTAGTGACCTCCACATTACCTAGTAACTTTAATAACTATAACTCTCATAATCTTAGATTAACTGTAACAAAAACACAAAATTTCGCAGTTTTTTTTAAAGGTTTTCCAGAGATTATAGTTAAGTCTTTGACAATTTCACTTAACAAATACTGTAGTTCTTTAGGTATTTAGTTTCTACATTAATAATAGTAATTTCTATTTTAATATATCTATTATTAATAAAGTTATTGACGAAAAACATAAAATAACATCGAAAATAAAAATTATCTAATTCTCGATTTCTTAATATTGCCCTCCCTTTCTAATAATTTGATTATCCCTTTCTAATTATTCTGAAACTTTCGATCACGTGATATTTGTTTACATTTTGTGAACTCTGATTGGTCGTTTAATATATAGTCTTATACACCAAATTATAAAAGAAAGAGAGGACAATAGCTTTCTTGCTTGTTTCATCGATAAAGTTAATACTAAGTGAGATAGCACGATTTGATACACTCTTATTCTATGAGAGTCTTTTGCTTTTTGCATTTCACTTTAGACACTGCATATGCACTAGATACTTGACTTCACAGCGGGTTACGTCGCGAACAATATTGGTTGCCGAACAATAGAATTGTGAATTAAAATCCCAATGTCCAATTATGTTTATACTTACCTAAGCGCCTTTAGCGGTAACTCTTAATAATAAATATTTCATCTAAAATAACATTGTAATGGCACTAGAGCCGTACAGCAGAAACAGACGTACATTCCTCACTTTTTGTACCTGCCCACTTACTATATTATCAGGGAATTTGCTACTATAGTGTTAATCATTTATAATTGATTAACTAGCCTGTTGTCCATTTTACAGGATGACGAAGAAACACCAGGAGTAATGGAGCAACTGCGTACGGAGGTATGCGAGTGCGCGGCGTTGTATGCTCTTAAGTATGAGGAGGAATTCGGGCCACACGCTCCTGGATTCGTCACAGCTGTTTGGACCGTGCTCTTGTCGACAGGGCCCCAGATTCGATATGACTCGGTAGGTACACTACCTTTCTCATCATTTCCCTTCTAATCCGGTGACTATAAGCTGTTTTTCATGAAGGTAATCCCAGGCGATTTTTATGGTTAACATTTCTATCCTGCATACAGTTATTGTATGCGTTATTTCTTCCTCAATGGTCTCTATTTCTAGGCAAAAATACCTTACCTTGAATTTTTCTCAAAGTATGTTGCAAATTTAGCCCATAGGATTTTTATAGGATACTGAATTCTTGTTTTTTAATTTGTGACTTTTAACAAATTAAAAGACAAAAATTCAGCTTTTTATAAAGTGAAATAACGAGTAAACCGTATTTTTAAAATTTTCGACAAAAAGTTCTATTAATGTTATGTCTCCTAATAATAAGCCAAATTTCGCTAAACTGCCTTAACAACGAATTTCGTGCTTTGAGAGTAAGTCCCGTGGTACAGTTTGAGAACATTAATTCAATTTTTTTTAATAAAATAAAAATACACATAACTGTACTTTCTTTCGTATACAATTCAATTAGATGTCAAATGATGTTTCAGCTGGTAGCTAATGCACTAACATTCCTCGCGAAAGTGGCTGAAAAGAACAGCTACAAGAGTCTGTTCGAAGACCCAGCCACTTTGAGCAGCATCTGCGAGAAGGTTGTCATTCCCAACATGGAATTTAGGGGTGAGTAAATATAGAGGAGATAAGGCCTGATAAAGAAGTTTAGAAGAGCTGCAAGAGACTTTACAATACAGAAGTAAATGCATTGATGAACTGATGTCTGGTCCAAATGTACGAGACAACTCAGATCTTATCGTAAGGGCCCGGGGCCCACTGACGGAACGGTTCGGAACTGCATCCTATAAGGGAATGTTATATTTTACAGGTCTCAGGAACTTTGTGAGATAACTTTAAAGAAAGTTGAGAGGGTTATACATTTTCGTAAATTTATACAGTGACGGTAGTGTAACAATGATAATCTAATATTACTCGAGACTACTTGGTACTTGGTGCAACGGGCTGGTATCCGCAACTCGACGACAAAGCGCCTATTTTGCGTGTGGTACTCGAGACTAATTTAAGTGTTAATTCAGAGTGCGACATGGAGTTGTTCGAGGACAATCCCGAGGAGTACGTGCGCAGAGACATCGAGGGCTCGGATGTTGATACGCGCAGGCGCGCCGCCTGCGACCTCGTCAAGACGTTGGCACAGCACTACGAGGACAAAATGATGAATATCTTCGGACAGTACGTCGAGGTAATTGCGAATCAGAGCAGATTTGTTATTACGGTTATTTTCGAATGAATGAAATATTCTTTACTGCACATGAAATTACAGTTAAAATACAATACAGTAACTTACTTATAAAGATAATAAGTTAATGTGCAACAAGAAGCCTTATTGCTATGTAGCAATTCCTTCCAGGTAACCTTTTCGAGTTAGTTAGTGTTCATTAGCTAAATTACAAGCCGTGGTGGCCTCTGAATCATATGTAAAAAAATATATATTATTATTATACATATATAAAGTAAGTTTTGCATTTCATGAGGTTACACCATTTTTACGCTGATAACTTCAATAGGTTATTACTTAATAGTTATTCGATATTTTTTTTGTTAGCTAATGCTGTCGAAGTACAGCGAAGCGGGGGCGAGTGCATGGCGCGGCAAGGACGCGGCTATGTACCTGGTGACGTCACTGGCGTCACGCGGCAGCACTATGGCCGCCGGCGTAACGCGCGCCTCACCACTCGTCGATCTCGCCCAGTTCGCTGCCAATCACGTCGTACCTGAACTGCAAAGACCCAATAGTAAGTACTTTACATATGGTATAAACATTTTTATTATTTTAATTATATCATATGACGGAATACGTGGTAAGCGACACGTCTGTCCATGGCAGTTGCAGTGCCATATTCTCTTATAACCTTTCGCGTTGCATTCTACTAACATTTAAAAACAGGAATAAACGCCTAATAATTTAATTAGTATTTTCACACCTGCCTATTTTCACAACTTTTTCGTTTTTCAGTCATTAATGGTTTTAACCGGTTTTTTAAAAAGGAGGAGGTTTTCAATTCGACTGTATTTTTTTTATGTATGTTACGCGATAACCCCGGCGTCGTTTGTGAACCGATTTTGGGGATTCTTTTTTTGTTGAAAAGAGGGTACCTCAGATGTGATCCCATTTAAATTTGAAGAAAATATTCCACCTCTAAGGGTGGCAAACTAGGGAATGAATGACTTTTGAGGTCGGTTTCCTAGTACTCTGTACTGTGTGAATATCGTTTCCGGTGTAAACAATCGACGTTTTTTATTATTTTTACAGTTACAGAGTTGCCAGTTTTAAAAGCCGACGCTATCAAATATCTTATGACATTCCGTTCGCTGCTTCCCAAAGAACTGCTCATCAATTCCTTGCCTTTATTGGTAAGTATTATTAGTCGAGTTCTTATGTTTTCGCGACTATTACACTGTGTCTGACTGGCAGTCATCCGTGACCATGGGACCGGTAAAGGGCTCGGAACGTAGGTTTCTTTGAAAAAACAATTATATGCGAATTACATCTGAAAATAGTTATTTGTCATGCAAGGCTGCAGTTGTTGTTTGACGCGAGTGCTTGTATTGCGACCTGAGCAAGCGAAGGAATCTAAGATTAGATAGAAACTAGAATCCTGAGCGTAGCGAGGGTTTCAAGACACGGGGCCCCAAACAACTTTTCACCTCACTATAGCGGGAAAAATGGTAGATGAAAGAAAAACAGTTGAACTATAACAAATCGGTTTTAATAAACAAAGTAAGTTATCGTTGTCAATTTAATGTCAACAATAATAAGAATAAAATATATCAACGGATTTGTGTTACATAAATAATGTACGACAAATCGCGTAGTCAACTACGCTCTTATGTGTCATAATTATTTTTTTTTTCATTGGAAGGAAAAAATTGGGTGCGCCTCAGTTCATCGTCAAGTTCAAATTTCAAAAACGCTTTTCTGCGCAGATTTCTATTGAGAAAGAAAGCCTTTCCAAGCTAGTGAGGTGAAATAAGAAATAATATTATTTCCTATGTGTAACAGTCGCTAAAACCTAAGAACTCGACTAATAATATTAGCTTGTGTAACTCCGTTCAGGTCCAACACATCGAGGGCAAAGGCGTAGTATGCACATATGCAGCTTGCTGCGTGGAGAAGCTGGTGGCTGGCGGCATGCTGCCCCGACCTGCGCTTGTACCGCACGCTGCACCGCTATTGGCCAAACTCTTCGCCTGCATCGAGGACCACAACGAGTACATCATGAAAGGTAATTAACTCCTGGGGCCATAACACACTATTATTATAAATTGTATACAACACAAAATGGGAATACTACGTGTTGGGCAGCTGAAACACGATCGCTGCTTTTTTTTAGCACTTCTCTGGTTAATTTACTCAATACAATATTGATCGAGATGAGTTTTGTTGCGTAACACGACTGCTCCCGCGCGTGCTTTATTGTTTCGTTATTGTACAAAAAGATAAACCAAATTCATTGACTTACAATTATATGGACGTCGGGTCCGCGCTAAAAAGTGTCCGCACTTGTAAGGCGCTAAAATCGTATACAGAGCGCGACACTCCGCTTTAGTCTTCATTTGTTCTACGGACAGCGCGATACTGCGATGACATAACAATTTAAATTTCGAATAGGTTGACTTGGGACATTTTTTTCGTGGTTTTTGTATTAGACCCGTCGTCCATTTATTTGTAAGTCAATGACCAAATTAGATACATAATATAAACTAGTGCCACCTATATATACCATTACAGATATAAATGGGACAGCTTAGTACCACTTGTACCATTCATGGTATAATTCAATGGTATAACAGGTCCGAAGGCTTTTTTATATGGTTTGGTAAAAAGGTATGAAATTAAGCCATTACGAAGAAAACTGAGTTAATACATACCATGACTTGGTAACTCAGGCACAAATATTTTTTTGTGAAACATTCCATTTACCTCTGATATCGGGAACTTTTTTGTCAATTTTCTCTTTCTCGTGTGGTATATTTGGAGAACGAATTATCTACTTTATTTTATAAATTAAGTAGTCAATCTCTTATTGCTGATCGGTCGAATCAGTACATTTGATATTCCGTGAACGTGGACCAATCTGTCTATACGTAGATATTGTCAAACTCTTTTTGGCCGTTAGATGCCGCTTACCGTTAACAGACAGTTCTAGATATCAGTCCGGTTACATAATAATTAGTTATTTGAGTTTCATTTTAATATGATTTTATTTCCGGACTTATAGTCTGTCTTTTTTGACGACGGAGTAAAATGAACTGTTCATTGCGTAAAAGTGATGCCTGCTGGCGAGCAGCTAGTGATTGCAATCGATAAATTTTCTATCAACTCTCGACTGAATATTGGTCACGCTTATGGAATAAATAGCCGAACTTGTTTGCTTTGAATAATCCTCAAGTCATTATTCATCCAATTACTGAGCACAAGTTCATTTAAATTTTTGAAAGTTTATACAATAATACACTGTATTTAGAACTATGTTTGTGAAAACTACAAAGAGGAGACATATTTCAAAATTTTTTCATTTCAATTCAATACAAGTAATCAAATCTTATTCTTGTTAAAATGTATATGAAAAAAAAATTATCTGATACTATGTAGTAGGCCAACTGTCAGAATAAGAATAAAGAAGGCAATAACGCAATTAGTAATCATTACAACGTCGTTACGTTCACAATTCAGCCATTTTTGGCAAAATGTTATCTTCTTTCACAATCTATCGATAAAACTATCGACAACAACTACATAACTATTTAAAATTTTATGAAAACTGGCAACCCTACAAATGTCATTTTACTCGGTCTTCAAAAAAGACAGATTATGTTCAGGCCCTTAGTATAACTTGAAAAATCGAATGAATTTATTTTATTCAAACTTGTAATTATGACGTTTGAAGACGCTAATCAATTATTTTAACAATAATTTCGCCAGTGCTCTTTAACAATGTCTCTTAATTATTTGAATTTATTAATAATTTGAACGTGAATAATAAAATAATTTAATTAATATGTCTGTAGCCATTCTGCGCACATTGGCGTGTCTACAAGAAGACGGGCTATCGTACTTAGGCGATGCGCTGCCCAAGTTGGCCCAAATGTTGGCCGCAGTTGCCAAGAATCCATCCAAACCACACTTCAACCATTACCTTTTCGAGACCCTGTCGCTTTCTGTATCGTAAGTATTCCAAATGGTTTTTAATAATTTTAACTTTTTTTAGAAGTAATAAATATAAAGTATTATATTAGACAACATCACATACGTTGATACTTCATTGACCCGCTCGAGGATCGAAGGGAGACCGTAGAGATGGCGACACCATGAAAACCGGTGTGCAAGTCACTCTACCACGGAGGCCGTCAAGTAGTAATAATGGAACAAAAGTTGTTGTTCATGATGCAAGTAATATAGTCCTGAGAGGTTGTTATTGTTTTACGAATAAACGGTATGTGCAATGGACTTCACTTTTATTTTTCTTTCCCAGATTGGTGACGAAATCAAATCCAAACGCCATCACGGCATTCGAAGATGCCCTATTCCCAATCTTCCAGGAGATTCTACAGAATGATGTTCAAGGTACTGTACTGTAGGTTGAAGGTACTTATCTGCCCTGATAAGCCGAAAAGCGCTATCTCAATCGGAGTAAGTTTTGAGAAAATCGACTTTTTGTAAATTGCATTTTATGTAATTGTATTGTATTTAAAAATACTTCTTAGTGGTTTTTTAAATGTTTTAAGTTAGATAGCGCTATTTCTATTATACCATTAGATGCGAAATTTTTATAGCTATTGAATGGCATAAAAAAAACTAAAAAGGCGTAACTCAGAGATAGCGCCTTTCGGCTTAGCAGGGCAGTTATGACATCATTGCAAATCATCAAGTAGGCCACAGAAGCGTTATTTCTTAGTGTTTATTACTGCCATGTTACTATGTCTGGTGACGTCATTATGTGCTACACAAAAATGGATCTTACTGATCTCACAGGTAAAGACTGTGTCATAAATGGATTGATATAATAACTCGACCCGGTACAGCGTGGACGCAGGTGCAAGCCCTGTCGGGTCGAAGTAGTTTTTCTTTGGGTTGTTTGTATTTTATTTTTATAACTTAGACTTTAGAACAAGTCGTGCGCCTGATGGTAAGCTACACGCCATCCCACAACGGTTGCAGTGCCACTCAGAGCTTTAAATCGCAAAGATCTGAAGGGCAGTACCACTGCGCCCGTCAACCTGAGACATAAGTTGATAAGTCCGAAGTGCCTTTAATTTCACCAGCACCCTTTACCTGTCAAAACCGGAACGCAGTAATGACATTATTGTTTGGCGGCAGAAATAGGTAACGTGGCAGTACTTTCCTGGACGAACTCTTTCACAAGGAGCTCTACTGCTACTAAATTATAATATATGCTGCTATTAATAATTGTAACAAACTAGTGCAGTTATTTCATAAAAAATAATAATAATAATAATAATAATAACTTTTTATTTCGAGTAACAATAGACTCACTTGTTAGTACATACATGTGAACTTAATCTAAAATTAGTAAAACTTAAAATTAAAAAATTAAAATTGAATTTAAATTAAAATGAAATTAAAATTGAATTTAAATGAAAATTGAAGTTAAATTAAAATTGAAAATAAATTAAAATTGAAATAAAATTAATATTGAAATAAAATTAAAATTAAAATTGAACTTAAATTAAAATCTGATTACATGCTTGGGAGCATGTAACCCGCAGCAATGCCTAATATAGGGGCAGTCATCCCTGTCCCCTATGACACGGAGAGCGGAGTTGGGGCTGGCCCGCACGCGGCGCACCAGGGACGCACACCTCTTGCGCACAGTGGCGTCCATGCCGTCCACGCGCGCGTCGGCGAACATCCCTGATGCGCTACAGAAGCGGGGCAGCCCCATCAACACCCGGAACGCGTTATTGTATTGAGTCCGTAGGGCCCTGTAGGCCCGGTTCGTAAACTCTCGCCACAGACTACAGGTATAAAAGGAGGTACAGTACGCTCTAAAGAGCGTTACTTTTACCTCTCCCGAACACCTTGCGAATCTGCGTGCGATCATATTCGCCCTGACCGACAGAGCCCTACGTTCCCTTTCCATGTCCTTATTGTCATTGAGATCAGGCGTAAGTATATGCCCTAGATATTTAAATTGATTTACCCTCTGAAGGTCTATACCATTAAGTTTGATTTGAGGTAGCTCAGAGTTATACTTACGCCCGTTCCCAAATACCATGTATTGGCTTTTACGTGTATTATATTTAAGTCCGTGGTCTATCGCATACCCCTCACACACTTTTAATAAATTACGCATACCGCAGATTGATGCACTCAGCAGCACCATATCATCCGCATAACTAATATTATTTAGGCACACTCTATCTATATGGCATCCGATACGCATGCTGCTGAGGGCCTCGATCAGTCCATTGACGTATACGTTAAATAAGCTAGGGGAGCTCAATCCGCCCTGCCTAACACCGCATTCGAGCTTATAAGGGTCCGACATCCTTCCCGCCCATCTAACGTAGTTGATCTGATTTCCATACCAGTATTTAAAAATCTTGACTACTTAAAAACTTGAAAATGTATGACAATTAATTTTTTAATTGAATGTCAGGATGTTCCACCACTATGATACTCAATTATGTTTTTGTGAAATTACTCCACGAGTTTGTTATAATTATTAAACAAAGATTTATTTAATAATTATAATTATTAATGAAAGAAGAACACAGGAAAATGCACGGCAATCCGGTTGGATTCGAACCAACGTCTCCCAGCAAACTGTGCCAGACGCTATACCAACTAACTAGCCATGCTTAGTATACCAATTGAGGAGCGTCGGAACAAAAATGTATACGTTACATTGAGATTTGTTCTACTTTTTTAATGCCAAATAGTTGTTTTTATTAATTTCTACGTATAAGTTATCCAACCTGAACATCAAACACATTGCGACAAATCCCTTCAATGAGAATACATAAAATTAGAATTGAAATTAATCTAATTTATCGGTTTTTGTCCCAAAGCTCCTCAATTAGCTGTCATAGCGTCTGGCACGGTTTGCTGGAAGACGTTGGTTCGAATCCAACGGGATCGAAGTGAATTGTTTCTAAGTGTTCGATCTTCGTTTAATAAATATACGACTTGTTTGTTTTTCTTATTAAAAACTTTTGCTGACCTTCTTTTACGACTCGGTGTCGATAATCCCCTTACAATATACATATTATTGTCTGTTTGCAGAATTCATGCCGTATGTATTCCAAATGCTATCGCTGCTTCTGGAAATGCGAGGGGCGATGGCGTCTATGGGCGCAGCGGGAGGCGACTCAGATGCATATGGGGCGCTTCTGCCCTGTCTCGTGGCGCCCCCACTCTGGGAGCGCCCCGCCAATGTACGCCCTCTCGTTAGGCTGCTCTGCGCTTTTGTCGCCTCCAGGAGCGCACTCATTATTAGGACTAACAAATTGGTATGTATAACTTTATAGAATAGGAAATTACGCTGTAGTTCAAAAATACTAATTTTAATTTTTAATTGTGATAGGAAATATATAATTCCCATTTTTGAAGGGAATAGATTTAGTAGCAGTCGAGGTCTTTGTGAAAGAGTTCGTCCATTGAAGTATTGCCACATTACCTATTTCTGCTGCATAGCAGTAGTGTGAGCATTACTGCGTTTCGGTTTTGAAGGGTACGGGTGCTGGAGAATTTAAAGCTCTGGTGTACTGTGTACGAGTGGTACTGCAACTTTTATGGGCAGGCGTGTCGCTTACCATCAGGCGCAGGACTTGTTCGTCCCGTCACTTAGTTACTATATTTAAAAAAAATCGTAATACCAAGTGACGAACGAACGAGTCGTACGCCTGATGGTAAGCGACACGCCTGTCCATGGCAGTTGCAGTGCAACTCTACAAAGGGTCACTACCACTGCGCCTGTCGCCCTGAGACATAAATTGACAAGTCCCATGCAGGCATATAATTTCACCAATACTCTTCAAATCCGTAACACACTAATGCTCACATTACTGTTTAGAGCAGAAATAGGTCAGATGGTAATACTTCCCTTTCACACGACGCTCTACTCTACGATTCAGGTAGGGGACATAAAACATGCTTTACTGTGGGAACCCCTTCGGAATGACAAAAATGTCTTAATTAGTAGTGATCAACTTTGAATTTTTCGTCTAGATTGTCAGTAGCCTCTTTGAGAGATGGAGAGGTCTATGGCCGTAATTTCAAAGTTAGGCTAAGAGTGCTAGAAGACTTTACATGTGTAGAATTTTGAACATTGTGCTTTATGCTGGAAAAGTGAAAACTTGTCGAGGATTCATTATTTCGGTCACTTAAAAAGTATGCTGACGTGCAAATTATGGTTTCTATGCACGCGTTATACATTGTCAGTGGTTTTACAACAATGATTCAGGTTCATTTATTTCTGAAATGTAATATTACAGTATAAATTGCACTACATGTCAAAATACAAGAAATTATATTGAGATCGGTAAACAAAAATGAAAATAAAAAATGAAATATACACAACAATTATAAAATTACTAATTTATTAATAATTAAACCTAAGAACTCAATAATATTGTTGTCATTAAATTACATCAAATATCATTATTTCGCAAAAATGTTGTTACATTTTCTGATTTGGTTACAGAATGCAATGTTGGGTGTGTTCCAAAAATTGATTGCCTCCAAAACGAATGATCATGAAGGATTTTACCTCATACAGACCATGCTCTACAAATTCGGAGAGTGAGTACAATCTATTTTAATTTTTTACTTTATATTTATTGTAATCAAACTATAAATGTTTATTACTCCAATGGATACAGAAAAATATAACCTACATCCTCCCCAATTTTTTAATTCTGTCGACATAATCGATAGAGTTGCAAGAATTGGAGAGGATGTGCGTTATATTTTTCTGTATCCAATGGAGCAATGAACATTTTCGACGTAACTTCAATTTAGCCATTCTTCCATGAGGCGTGTGACATATACATTTACGTATTTTTGTTAGCACACTTTTCAATCTTCTCGGGTAAATGATGTTTCACGGTATACATTTAGGGTATAAATATGGTCTTGTTGTTGGGGAATTAATAACACTATAATATTCCACGTGGAAACCGTTAATTATTATGACTCCATTAATTACATTTTTAACCGACTTCAAAAACAAGGAGGAGGTGCTTAATGCGACTGTTTGTTTTATGTATGTAATGTTATGCGATAACGGCATGTGTGAACCGATTTTGATGATTCCTTTTTATTAGAGAGAGGGTGCCTTAGTATTGGTTCCATTTAAATTTGTAGAAAATATTCCACCTCTAAGGTGGCAAACTAGGGGATGAATCCAGTTTCGCGCACTATCCGGTAACCAATTTCAATAAAACTTTGCAAATAGATGTTATTCTATGAACATTTGAGGTCTTTTTTTTAATGAAAAAGTTATTTATTATACACGAGTTATGCAGATGACGATGAGGGAACAACTGGTAGTGTGCGAAGCGCATACCAATACAAAGCCTGAAAATGCTTATAATGTTAAATGTGTCCCTACATACAGTATACTAGCTGGTGGCCGCGACTTAGTCTACGTAGAGGAAGTACTTCGTATATCCTACTGTACTATATTCATTTTTATAGTTTTATTGGTTCTCCATACAAACTATCATCCCTTTTAAGATTTATATGTGTTACAAAAAGCAGTCTATGTGTTCTCCTATATTAGGTTCCATATATCTCTACCAAAATTCGTTCAGAGGTTTAGGCGTGAAAACGTAACGGACAGTTACTTTCCATTTATAATATTGGTTTAGATTTTTCAGTAGTAGAATTCAAATCCAACCGAATCGAATGAATTTTCGAGTTCGAATTACAATTCTGTGGCTCTAGTGAAAAGGGGTACAAGTAAAAAAAGCCAACTTTGCAAGGAGATTCGAAAAACAGTTAAAGCTTAATATGGTATTAAGTGTTTGCGTTTCCTTGCAAAGTTGGCTTTTTTACTTGTACCCCTTTTCACAAGAGCCAAGAATTGTATCGATATCTCTAGTCAGTGATGGTAGCTGTAAAGGTACCTCTCTGAGTGAAGAAATAAATATCTAAATAAGTTTATTTTTTAGAAATAAATTTCTAGAAAAAGGCTAAAAAGTCAAAACCAAATAAAAAGATCCGATTACAAGCACAGAAAAATTCGTGAGGTCCGCTGGTTCATTCCGTGGCTTAGTTGCCTGACACAGTTTGCTAGTAGACGTCGGTTTGAGTCCGGCCGGATCGGAGGAATTGTTTCTAAGTGTTCGATCTTCCTATTAATAATTATAACAAACTAGTGGAGTAATTTCACAAAAAATAATTGAATATCATAGTGGTAAAACTTTCTGACATTGAATAAAAACTAAATAAAAATTCTCACAGATGGCGCTACGGCAAAAAAATAGTTAAAAACCAAAAATAAAGATCTGCAACAAGCACGTGGAAAAATTCGTAAGCTCTGCTGGTTCGTTCCGTGGCTTAATTGGCAGAAAATCTGGCACGGATTGCCTGAGAGTGCTGGTTAGAATCCAGCCGGATCGAATGAATTTTGCTTAGTGTTTGATCTTTGTTATAATAATTATAACAAACTAGTGGAGCAATTTCACAAAATGAAATTTAATATCATGATAGTAAAACATCGTGATATTGAATAAATAAAAAAATCTACAAAAACACTTTTTTTTTAACATTAAAGTGATAATTCTGTTTTTGCAACTTGGATATTGGTAAACTTGACAGGTCAGTGATGTCTCCGTATACAAAGCAAATAATAACGCTGCTGTTTCAACGCTTGTCGTCGTCTAAGACGACCAAGTACGTGCGCGGGCTGATCGCGTTCCTCGGCTTCTACGCGGCGCACTTCGGCGCTGACTCACTCGTCGAGCTCGTCGACTCCGTACAGGCCAAGTTAGTACTTACATTGGACTTTGTTATGTTTAATTTCATCAATAAATCAACATTACTTTATTTGTCAAGAAAACGATACAAATTATTTAAAAAAAAATAATTTAAGCGATCTATGACTAAGTTACAGAGGACTGAAGTCCATAACCCTCGCTGATATTTTATCAAAACCCAATGGTTAAGATCACACGAATAATTATCAAACATGTACGCTTACTATCGCGCGCGCATTCGGGCATACACTTACACAAGAGCACAAACGCGCAATTACGCTTATACACGACCACACATACATATTTACTCACATACGAGAACACGCACGCACATACGCTGACATATGAGGACATACGCGCACATATTTTCACACGCACACGAACACTCGCGCACGCGCCCATTCGTTCATACACACACGCAAGTACGTACAGTTTAGTAATGGCAGCTTCGATTTGACACAGCTCTAAATGTTTTTATTAACAATGTGTTTCGTGTATTTCGCTAAAAATACATTTTATTTTAACTGCATTTTAACTGTCTCCGTGGTGGGTTACCAATACGGACTGCCACGCAGAGGTCCCAGGTTCGATTCCCGGGCCGGGAGGAATATTTGTATGGCCTATATTTGTTTATCTCGTGAGTTTGGGTGTAATTTGTGGTTGTCTATGTGTGTGTCAATGGCACCCGCGACTCAGGGTTTCCCTAGTGCGGGGCTGTGTTGAGTGTGTTATTATAATTATTTTTTGAAGATCATCATTATCAAGATAAATAATGTGTTAATAGCACCTCATTGGCTAGTTTCTTGGCACTAAACACTTTATATCAAGTTCTTAGGTTTTCGCTTTACACCTATATTCCAGCCAAATTCGATGTAGAATGCTTAATAATATTCATTATTCAAGTCTTCAAGATTTAGTATTATTCATAACCTAGTTGAATTCCAGGGGAAAATATGACATTGTGGTAACTGTGAAAGAGTCTGAGATGAAAACCCTAAAAATAGTATGTTTTTGTTTGTTGACATTTATTCTACATCGAATTTGGCTAGAATATAGAGACCATGACCCCTGTGATATTACGGATCGTCATTTCCTGGAATCGGATGTGGAGCTCAAACGCTCTTACGGGTCACATGGTCACCCGTGATTTACGTTGACACCCTCTATTACGTTTTCCATCATGTGGGTACCAAGTGGTGACTACTTTACTCCATTTTGCCGGCCCACGTAACAGCTATTTAGTTTTAAATCAAATACTTTCATTCCTTGTAGGATACTTATGTCACTAAATTAAGCATTCATATCAATAGACGTTATGCAGTTGAGCGTAAGGAAATAAATAAAATGTTCTTTGGCAGCATGTTCGCGATGTACTGCGAGCGCGTGTTGATCCCCGACCTGCAGAAGGTGAGCGGAACTCTGGAACGGAAGGCGGCGGCACTGGGTTGCGTCAAGCTGCTGTGCGATTGCTCGCACTTCCGTCAAGGGAACCTTGCGCCTCTCTGGCCCAGGCTCATGCAGGTACACGCACCTCCTCATAATGCTATTCCATAGGCTCCCAAACTTTTTAGCTCATCGCCCAATTAGGCAAGATAAAAACTCCTACCACTTTCAATTTCAACGCCTACCACTACAAAAGATAATTGAAAACACGTATTTTTTATATTAACGTAACTCAAAAATACACAAAGAAATATATTTGTAGTGTAATCTATGGAAATTTCGTCGCCCTGTAAGATACCTTTACTGCTACCAGCCTCGGCTAGCGATGTCGCTATTGATTGTATTTAAATTTTTATTGAATTGGTATTCAATTATTTTTATGTGAAATTACTCCCCTAGTTTGTTATAATTAATACAAAGATCGAACACTCAGAAAAAATTCCTTCGATCCGGCCGGATTCGAACCGACGTCTTCTAGCATACCGTACCAGACGCTGAAGCGGAGGTTTGATTATGAACAATTTGCAGGCGCTAATCTCGCTGTTCGAACTGCCGATTGACGAGACGTCTCTTCCTGACGATCATTTCATAGAAGTGGACGATACTCCAGGGTACCAAGCACAGTATTCCCACCTCACCTGCGCCAAGGGCATTTCCAACGACCCCCTTGCCAGTAAGTATCACCGAAGTACCATTTTCTAATTGAAAATTAAACTGTTTTATCGGATATAAATCGAGTACAAATTTTTTTTTTCAAACAAACTAACGTTTCGGGCCCTTTACATCCATCTCTGCCGCCGTTTGAACTAACGGCGGCAGAGATGGATGTATAAGATGGAAGTATCGAGTATACAACCAGAAATAGACACGAAATAAAGGCCATACATTCCTGGTAACTCATCAGTGATACATCACTTATAAATATCAATTCTCGTTTGCACTGAAATATAGACAGCGCCCACAACTGACCTGTGTGTATGTCTCCGTATAATCCAAAAATATTCTGTAGTTATTGTAAGAAAGATAATATCTCTAGCGTGCTGTTCCATTTAATGGTGTGGGGAAAAACAGCAACACATCTAATTACAAAACAAACTGAATCATATTTCGTCGGTAATTATATATGTAATTTTGCAATTTTCGTTTATTATAGCAAAGCTCAAGTTAACTGATCGAATTGAATTGAAGCAATTGACGACACTGACACGAATTGTTTCAAATCTCTATATCTGGTTATATACTCGATGGATGGAAGTATAAGAGTTGATTTGTGATAAACTGTTGTCCACATAGGAAAAAATAAAAATAGTGACAGATCGGCAAGTTGTTACTAATCACGGCAGTATACAACAACATATATATTTTTTTAATTTAATAGTACATTGTACAGGAAAAATACAGCAAGTCACAATGAATACAAAGAAATTAAAACAAAAGGTTCTGCTTATTTCTAATAGAAATTTCTTCCTGCAGACCTAAATACAGGACATTATAACTAAAGGAACTATTATACTATAAATATATTTTTTTAAATATGTCACATTCAATTCAATTTCAACTAACAGCGGCGGCGGCAGATCTGCCGATCGAAGGAAGATTTCTTTGTGACTTTGCCTGTGAGAGAATTTACAATTTATAATATTATAATTTATTTATAATTATTATTAAAAAAATTAAATTCAGGTATCCTTAACAAAGTAACACACAACTCGCGTATTTAAGTCCAATTTTTGCTGGACATGTTTCGAAACAGTCCGTGGTCCTTAAACATGAGATTCCGCGGCGTGAGTTATCCGTTATAGTTAGTATGTCGTGAGTCTCGTTTTAGTTACTATTGAATAGAATTCCTTTTTGTTACAAGGTATCGAAGACCCCAAACGCTACCTAGCGGAGAGTCTAGGCAATATGGCGAGATCTACCCCGGGATTGCTACCCCCTCGACTGGAGGCGCTGGAAGAGCAATACCGCAATGTTCTATTCCAATATCTTAACGTCTATAGTGTGCAGATATGCTGAAACACTGTGAGTTACAGTATATGTATGGGTAGGCCGGAATTATTACGAATCTTAAAGATTTTCGTTTATTTTAGAAGATACAAAATGTACATTCAATTAGCTCCGTAAGTAGTGGGTTTGCGTTTTAGAGCTCCTTAATGTATCGCGAACACCACGTCGAGCTTTATACTTTAGATTTTGATATAGAGTTCAATTTAAATAATGAGTATAAAGGGAATCGTGCCGTTATTTATACTTGAAATGAAAAAAAAAAAATCAACAAAATATCCATAGAATACAAAAATATCTTGGTTCTTATTATAGGGTGAATGGATTTTTTAATAATTATTACGTGACGGGACGAACAGTTGCAGTGCTTGTTACTCAGAGCTTTAAATATCCTATAACTAGTCACCTATAACTTTACTTCAAAACCGCAACGCAGCAATATCATATTACTGCTTAGCGACAGAAATATGTACGGCGGTTGTACTTCCCTAGACGAACTCTACCACAAGGAACTCTGCTACCTGCTTACTTATGGACATTGCAATTACAGTCTTTCATATTGTACAAATTAGGTATTGAAAACGTTCTAATGTAATTTTGGCCTACCTATTTTGGCACCTAGTCCTGTAACTTGAAACGCAAGTTTTAATTGTCATATCTTATAAATTTCCGAAGTCCATATCGTCTATTTAAAGGTAAAACCACATGAGTGACATTTTCCACAAAATATCTTTAATTTATACAGCTATGGTAAGAAAATCCTATCTTTCTGCAGGTGAAACTCAATAGCTATAAACTCGGTAAGAGTTTTATCTGCAGAAAGATTGTGAGTTTTTTACAACAGGTACATAATATGGAGATTTTTTATGGAAAATGTCCTTATGTAGTTTTACCTTTAAGCAGACGATATGTTGTTAATGCTGAAGCTCAGAATGTGTTTCGGAAGTGTGTAGTTTTTTTAATGTCATTCAGAATATCAGACTGAGTTACAAGTTGCATGGTTAGGGGATAGCGCGAGTGAGTTTATGGTTTTGCTTGTTCGCGTCTACCGTTATGCAGTCCAGCCCTGAAAGGGTCTACTAGATTTTTATGTTCCGATTTGAATTATTGATTTGCAGTTCGGAATAAATCGAGCCATTACCGCCAGCAGCGTAAGTGACAAAAGACAAATTTTACAAGACAGAGTTTTTTAAATATTTTTACATATGAATGTGATACTAAATTGTATTTCTATAATAACATAACGAATTTCGTAACAGATTGTGTAACAGCAAACATTTTTAAAATACAGTGGATGTTAGGCCTTTTTTGGCGCTTACATTATTTTTGCTATCTGTATTTGAAGTTTTTTGAGGCGTGTAAGTTAACACTTGCGAATAATAATATCCAACAAAGTGCAACACGTTATTTGCCACTTTGTTTACACTAAACGACGAAATAGTGATGTACTATGTCAGTTGCGATTGTAAGTGCGTTCGCTTACGTTATAATTTTTTATACTCCGTCCAACCATTTGTTTAACTTTTGACATATGCATGCATCCGAAGTTCCGTATTTACATACAACCATAGACGAAAAATGCTATACTTCCAGAACTTTTGTTTTTTTAATTTTAGTGAAGCGACGTGCTCTTCACCTCCGATTTTTATCGAGCCAACAGATTATGTAACCAAAATTATTCAAGTTGATAAATTTGGGTAACTGTCTAATAAATTATAATGAAATGAAATAAGTTATAAATGATTATAATAAATTCTTATTGTTTATTACAATGAATCTTCGGATTCTTCTCCATATGAACGGTAGTCAATGTTTAAATTCTCATTTACATTAATTATTAATTTTAGAGTACACAAATTGTTAAACGCAATATTAGGATCCATTTGCGATTAAAACTTCTTCATAAATAAAATCGATTGTTATAAAAAATCGAATCGGAAACGCATTAGAACATCACTATTGATTAGAATTCGAGTTATCAAAAATTAAATAAATGGTTGGACGGAGTATAATATTGATTCTGTCAGTTACACTAAAATATAAAAAAAAACTGACCACCGATAAACTTAACTTTTGCTATGATTTCTATTTGATGTAATTTTCACAGAAAATGTCGACGCGTCCTTGTCCGGTATAGTTTAAAATATCATTTGCAATAAAAACGCTGTTTAGGTAAAAATGTAGCTTACGATAAGTCGGCGGTCATGGGTCGAAATAATCTTATTAATGTTTCGTATAATCCTGTATCGTTGTTGTTTGTGTGATGAATGACTATCATCCAATTGATGAAAAGATAATCGGAAGCATTTTTTTAAGAAAGAATCGAAAATGCAAACACAATTTTTTGTGCATTCTTGTTTGGTATTATTTTGTGATTGCTGCTTGAATTTGATGATCGATTATGGTCCCTTTGAGTTGTATGCGCTTTATCATTGCTGTGTAAATTGATTTAGTACTACTTCTTACACCCTTTGTGTAAGAAGGCTACATCTGCAAAACAACACTTTAAAGGATAGATACTTGAAGATTCTACTAACGAAATTATTCGGTAACTGTTTCAATGCTTAAATAAGAGATTTAAATTTAAACGATTTTGACACGTTAATTGTTTTTGTTTACATCGAGTATATAGAGACAATAGGGACCATCCATTTTTGGCAACTCTTCAGACAAATGGGCCTTATATCACTTTTAAATATCAACTCTCGTTTGCATTGAAATAACTTTTTTCATGGAAAGTTGAATTAGTACAGCGCCAACAACTGACCAGTGTGTACATCTCCGTATATTCCAAAAATATTCTGTTTTATTGTAATAAAGATAACCTAACAATGGGGGGCTGTTCCATGCGGTAGTGTGGCAAAAACAACTAATTACAAAAAAACGGAATCACATTTCATCGGTAATTAAATATGTAATTTTTCAATTTTCATACGTTATAGTCACCGCTCAGTTAAACTAGTCGATTTGAAGTGCGACACCCGTCAATCGTTTCGGATTCGGGCTGGTCAATCGCGAGCGCAGTTGTCACCGTAATGATTTGGCAGAATAGTTTTCAAACAAATTAAATGACATTTCTTCTCTATTTCGTGTTATACTCGATGATAAAAACGTACTTTATTTATCTCGACGTTTCGGACGTATTGCCACTTCCATGGTCTTAGTCACTGAGATGGATTTTTTCTATGGATAGATATTTGATGTCAGTCGGCCATATTTGCTTACAGATATTATCTTAATAAATAGACTTTAAGTTAGGCCTGTTAAGACTATTTTCCTATAATAACTACTGTAACCTGTAATTACAATAACTGAAGTCTGAATAAACGATTAGGTAAATGTAAAACAGTCCTTTACATTTCGATGGGTCCTAAGTATCCTTATACTTATATTTGGCCTTTGCAAACTAACAATTTGATCATTTTCACTTTGTGAGAAATGCTTAATTACATTATAAAATGATAGTTTGGCTCTTATACTTAGGACCCATCGATTCCTTCAGCTGTTGAGTAGGTAATAAAAATCTCATTGACATAATTGTTTCATAGCAAGATTGTAAATTAGTCATTTTGTTAAAAATTAGGTAATTATTTTTGTATAATAACGGCTGAAAACGAATCTAAAGGAATGTAAAAGATCTTCGAACATCGCGATGTATAAATAATTACAATAGTAATAATTAATTATACCAATATCTAACTTACTTATTTGTGACAAAGGACAGGTTGTTTAGAAGTTGGTAGTAACCATAGGTAGTCATTAAAGAAGTATATAATTACATCAGGCATAATATAGACACCATGGTCTGTTTTTTTTTTGAGACGAAGTAAAATGACATTTGTAGTGTTGCCAGTTTTCATAATATTTTAAATACTTCTTACTTGTTGTCGATAGTTTTATAGACAGATTGTGAAAGGAGATAAAATTTTGCCATAAATGACTGAATTTGTGAATGTAACGTTTTAGTCACTGGAATATTTATCGATTGCAATCACTAGCCGCTCGCAAGCGGGCAACACTTTCGCGCAATTAACTGTCATTTTACTCCGTCTTCAAAAAGACAGACTATACATGTTTTATTTATGGCTTGTTATCTACTTACTAAACTTACCTTAAATAATAATAGTTACAAAACTAAACTAGGTATGCATATAAAAACATGATATTCAATAAAATAAGAAACGAGGTCTACAACCCCTGTAATCGGCTTTTTAATATCATATTTAGTTTCAGTTTTATTGTTATGCAAAATCAGCGTAATATAATTTTTTTAGATGACAATAATTAGATGCCTATAAAAAACTTTAGATTACAAGCACGCAGGAATTGTTTGCTTGCTTTTCTTAAGTATCACATATTCATCGCAATGTTGGAAGAATTTTATTTTTTTACAATTACAATAAGGTACTTTGTAAATGTATTAATCACGATTGAATGTAAATATGTTGTAAGAAGTTGATGTTTGTTTTGTATTAATTGTCACATAATTTATGTTATTGTTAAAAACACGTTCACGGTCTATAAATTAACAAGACAACCATTCAAAATTGTCAAGGTTCAGCTGTAGCGCTTCATTCTTCAAGAATCTTTGTAGTTTTGTATATCATAATATCATTTTTATATATTTTTTAAAACCAAATACATTAGATCCCTGGCCCCCATTTTTTTATTTATTTCTTTTATTTTGTGTATCTGTTAATTTTCGAAAAACGACTGTGAAGGTGTTCTAGCTTTTCGTAGGCGTAACCTTATGGCAAACTGAGGCAGTGTGTCGCGGCCTTAACATCTAAAAGTTCCGAGAAGTGTGTCTACGACCAACATTTACATCATCAAATTCAAATATTCTCTTTTCATATGTAAGCAAATTACACTTGAAATCGTCATATTGATTTAACTCTACTGATCATTCGTAACGCAGATTCTCCTGAGAAGAATAAGCTAGAGACTCTTTGCTGTTTGTAATTATAGATGTGTACACATCTAGCATTTACAAAATTTCTTTCAGACGTATTGTCTTATCTTTTTTGAAGACGGAGTAAAATGACACTTCATTGCGCAAAAGTGTTGCCCACTTTCAAGCAGCTAGTGATTGCAGTGTGGAAATGTTATATCGACTATCGACTGAACGTTGGTTACGGTTATGAAATAAATAAGCGAAATCGTTTAATTTGATTCATCATCTGCCCATTATACGTGCAACTGCTGGGTTCATCCCAATCCATTCGAGTTGTTGATATTTCAAAATTCAGTCATACATACACTAAACTTAGAAGTATGTATATTAAAAATGCAAATAGGAGACATATTTTAAAGTTTTTAATTTTAATTTAGCATACATAATCAACCGCCTGTCGTTATTATGATGTGTGTGACTGACAATTTATTTTGATACTAATAGACCTACTGTCAAAATAAGAATAAAGAATATAATAACGCAATTAGTAATCATTAGAACATTGTAACATTCGCAATTCAGTCGTTTTTGGCAAAATTTTATCTACTTTCACAATCTGTCGATAAAACTGTCGACTACTGCTACATGACTGTTTAAAATTGTACGAAATCTAGCAATCCTGCAAATGTCATTTTACTCGTCTTGAAAAAAGACAGACAACCTGCAAAAGCTAAACGAGTAACTATCACGGAGATTTGCTGTCCAAGTACGCAGAAATTGTTTCACTATTGTTTTGAACCTCGATTACTTACAAATGGCTAAGACTCAATTTCAACATTGCCACGGAACGACACGGAA